GCCAGAGTACTGTTTAGGGCATCTGCCATTCTATGAGTCTGCTGTGTATCCCGCTTCCCATGTTGGATCATTCTCTCCTTTTTAATTCTATCAGTTATTACTAGCAGACACCGGTCATGTTTATGTGATCCCTTTGACACTTAATCCTATCTTTATGATCAATTATGAACTTAAACTGATCACTTTAACAAGTAAAATGGCATTGGTACATGCCACCTTAATGTTTCCCTTTGTTTCTGAAACTTCTTCATGGATTTCTATGATTCCCCACAATATTACTTTCTTCAATATTTTGTTTCTTTGTTGTTTTCATGGCGAATGCTATCTCTCAGTGGTGGACAGGGTCTCAGGTTTGTGGGGACAAAGATGCTTCAGGATTAGGCTGCTTGTTTTAACAGAGTCCATTTTTGTAGTGTCTTTATGTGCACGGTCTCTTTGTCAATACAAAGGAGGAATAAGCCTACCTGCAGTACTTTTTATGCTAGGTTGAGGGAACAGGAAATTCTGGGCCTAGATTACCTTCTGTTTGTTGGGGATAGGTCAAGTACTCTGCTTATATACTCTGCATTTCCTCCTGGTGATAGAGACTTTAGGGGCCCCTGGAGAGGAAAGGAAGAAACATATATGATGTAACCCTCCTGGAGACCTGAGAGAGGAGAGCAGGGAGAAATACATACAATGAAATTTTCAGATGATTCATGTGTTGAACAAACTTGATTGAGCACTCTAATGTCACTTCCCGGATTGATTCACATAGAATACCTCACTAGCATACACCTTAACCAATCAGGAAGAACTTCCTGCTTTATTAACATAAAAGTCATAGCCAGCCATTCTTGGGAGGCAGCAACCCACTGCAGGGCAAAGCCCTCCGGTTGCTGAAGAGCTTTGTCTGCTTCTTTCAATAAATGTCCTTTGCTTTGCTCACTCCTTCCTTACCTGTGTGCCCCATTCTTTGTGGTCCTAAGAGAAAGAAACTGACAGAGAAAAGAAGCTATAACCCAGAAGGCAGCAGTGCTCTGCAAACCTGGCAGAGAGGGAAAGCTGTAACATAGAGCTGCAACACAGAAGAGCGGTAACACAATGCTCTGTAAGTAACGGAGCTGGGCTCCTCCTGAGGAACCCAGCAAAAAGAAGAAATCTGCCACATTTCTCGGGATCAGGACACACACCTGAGGGCCCGGAATCATAGTCGCCTCCTGCCACTGCTCCTGCAACACCAACATTAGAACCCCTACAGCACTGGGGTCCCAAAATGGGTTTTTCTTTCCCTTACCATCTCTCAAGTTTTGCCTTTTGTACTAGTTCTAGGATTTATATTTGTATTTGGTGGGGAAAAGGAGAAATGATTGTATACCACCTTATTAGATTAGAAATTCTAAAATAATATTTTAATTATTTAAAAAAAGAATTATTTGTTTGAGAAGCAGAGTGACACAGAAAGGGATCTTCCATCTGTTGGTTCACTCCTCAAATACCCTCAACAGCCAAGGCTAGGCCAGGCTGAAGTTAGGAGCCAGGCACTCCATCAGTGTCTCCCACATGGGTGGCAGGGGCCCAAAGTGCTTGAGCTGCTTTCCACTGCCTTCCCAGACCCATTAGCAGGGATCTAGGTCAGAAGCAGTGTAGCTGGAGCTGGAACAAGCACTCTGATATAAGATACTGGTGTGGCAAGCAGCAGTTTAACTTGCTGTGCCACAATGCCAGCCCCAATATTTTAGTTCTAATGTTTACTTAGCCAGCCTTTTGACAAACAGCACATTTATGACTTGACATCACAATTATAGATTTAAAAATGTTATTGAAATTAATTGTTGGTCTTTATTGTGATACAAACAGCAACATTGCAAATATACCATTTTTCCTTTAGTTTTGTTCTGCATGTGGAGTTCAGTTAAGTGCAACATATGAATTAGGTATTTTATTGTAGTGATAAAAAGCTAACACTGGGGCTGGTGCTGTGGCATATCAGGTAAAGCTGCCGCCTGCAGTGCCAACATCCCAGGTGGACTCCATTTCGAGCCCCAGCTGCTCCACTTCTGATCCAGCTCACTACTATGGGAAAAGCAAGCAGTGGAAGATGGCCCAAGTCCTTGGGTCCCTGCAGCCACATGGGAAATGCGGAAGAATCTCCTGGCTCCTGGCTTCAGATCAGCTCAGCTGCGGCCATTGTGACCATCTGGAGAGTAAACCAGAGGATGGAAGACCTCTCTCTCTCTCTCTCTCTCTCTGTGTGTGTGTATGTGTGTGTGTGTAACTCTGACTTTCAAATAAATAAATAAATCTTAAAAAATAGCTGACTAACACAACACATGCATTAGAATCATCAGGGAACCTTTTTACACGGTGATGATTTCTTAGTTCCTCCTCTGAGTGAGTCGGATTTCATTGGTTGGAAGTCAGTCATGAGCTCCACTTTAATTTCCTCAGGTCATTCAGAGCTATACCTAAGGCTGCAAACATATACACTAAAGATAATGGCATAAAATAAAGACAATTTTCTCTTTAAGAAGGGCACAGTCTAGTTAAAAAAAAAAGCCCAATGAATAAAAATAATGAAGGCCTTCAAAGTGCTTTCACAAATCCTAGCTTGTCTATCTATATCTATGTATCTATCTATGTATCTATGTATCACTAATCTATCATCATCATCTCTATATAACATGGGATGAGGAAGGATGTACCTGAACTTGAACTAAATCTTGGATTTCCATTGTAATTTATTTAAGACAAGAAGTTTGATTGTCCAAAATGCACAGTATGTGGATTAAAACAGTTTTTTAAAAAATTCTTAGCCTGTTCTTCAGGCAATTCCAATGTAAATTGTCTGCATAGCTTATGTTGACAAATCTGAACATACATAATGTTGTAAGTATCTGTGTTGAAATTTGTGTATAATGCTGCTTCTTCTGTGATATCTTTTAAATTGAAAACTAAAGTTTGTAAAGAAACAAAATTACCTGCTCATAAGTGACCAGAGGCAAACTTGGGTTCAGGTTTCAGCAAGTTTTCCTCAACTACAATTAGCTGCTGTATCGTACAAGTTACAAGGTTCAGTGCTAAATGCTAAGAGTACCAAGATAAATGGAACAAAATCTCATCTATAAGAGGAACACAAATTGGGGCCCGTCTGTGCCGTAGTGGGTAAAGCCACCGCCTGCAGTACCGGCATCCCATATGGGCGCCGGTTCAAGTCCTGGCTGCTCCACTTCCAATCCAGCCCTCTGCTATGACCTGAGAAAGCAGTAGAAGATGATCTAAGTCCTTAGGCCCCTGCACCCACATGGGAAACCCGAATGGAGCTCCAGGCTCCTGGCTTCAGATCGGCACAGCTCCAGCCTTTGCAGCCGTTTGAGGAGTGAACCAGCGGATGGAAGACACCCCCCGCCCCATCTCTGCCTCTCTGTAACTCTGCTTTTCAAATAAGTAAATAAATCTTAAAAAAAAATAGAAGAGCACAATCTAGTGAAGAACACCGATGATAGTGGAAAATTTTCTAGCACAAATGTTCAATTTACCAAGTATCCAGTACCAGCCATTCTCTCTCCCCAACCCCCATAGCTGTGTTTAGAAGTTGATTTGGTACAACAAATCTCAAAGGCAAGGAATAGAGGAGCTGCTCTGGATCCATATAAGTTAGTCTGAGGACTTGTTGGAATGAGGATGCTGCAGACCAGAACAGTCTTGGGAGCACGGAGCTATCCCTGCAACTCCTATGTATGGAGGAAAATCTGTAGCAATGTCTGCAGCGAAAATGGACAAAGGGAATGGGCCATATTCACCAGAATGAAAAGGCTAGTCCACTTCCAAGCACCATATCACCAGTATCACTCAGGTTTGTCTAGGGGAATGGCAAGAGGAAGAACATGTGAGAAAACCATGAAGGATTGTTTGTATCCCCAAGCAGCACTGGTGAAGCATATGCCTGGCTGAAGTATAAATCTAAAACAGATACAGACATTCTTAACAATACTGAAAGGGCAAAATGGGTTTTCAGACTACTGGAGTTCTAGAGAAATAGGTGGGTGTTTGTCATCTGTAGAGGCCCAGCACATCTGCACTAGTGGAGGACAAAAGAGGGAACCCAGCAGAAGAGGAAAGTATGCTCCACAGTTATGTCATTACCCAGAGAATGGAGAGAGAGCAGAATAGAAAAGTATTATTTACCTGGCAGTCATTGGATTTGCTTATATGCGCACTTTGGACCCATGCCTGCAAATGAAGGGCATGTAGAGTGTTGGGGTTCTGCATGTGTGGTTAGAGCCAACCAGGATTCCATCATTATATTTGATTTCCACAGCAGCCTTGTAAGGCATGTTACCTTCATTTTATAAATGAACAGGCTGACTTTACAGAAATGTATCTGTAGTAACTACCAGGTTTGTGCTTCTAAATAAAAGATCCAGAGATAATATGAGGTTTATATGTATTTAAATTATTTTATGTATTTATTAATTGTTCCCATTCTCTTCATAAGTTGATTGGCAAGTTTGTTGCTTCTTATGTTTTCTCCAACACATATAAAATATATGTATTTGTTTTTTTAAAGTCAGAAAAAATAGATAATCAAGAAAAAAAGTAAAAAGTATCAATAACTATGCTACTTAGAGAAAAACACATCTTGGTTTATACAATATACTATATAGTATATTATTTTCAAAAATATATTTATTCATCTGAAAGGCAGAGAGACAGAGAGAGATTTTGTATCCCTTAGTTCACTTAACTCCCCAAATACCTGCAATAGCCAGGGATGGGCCAGGCCAAAGCCATGAATCAGAAACTCAACTCAGGTCTCCCACGTGGGTGTCAAGGACACAACTACTTCAACCGTGCTTGCTTCCTCCTACTGTGCACATTAGCAGGAGACTGGAATTGGAAAGTGGTGGGGACTTGAACCAGGATGTCCCAAGTGAAGTCTCATCTGCTAGACCAAAAACCCACTCCTGTATTATATATAGTGTAGATGTGTGTTTTTAAATGAGATAAAATGTCCATAATTGCTTTTTAAATGCTTTATTAACTTTATGATGTGAGATAAACATCTTTCCATGCAAGTTGATGACACACCCCTGCTGACAGAAACAGTTACAGACCAGGTCAAAGGAAATCTCCAATCAGCAAGTGGCAAGAGAACACCAAAAGATTCACTGTTAAGCTTACATCAAGAAAATGCTAGTTTGGAAAGCAGGGGGTTTGTTATCGTTAACCTCAGGATTCAGGGCATGAGGCAAAACTCATCATGATGATCATGGTGAGGGGGGTCCCCTATAAGGATGCGCAGACTATACCTCAACTGAAGCTCCCTAATTTTCCTCCTTAGCTCTCTCATCTCCTCCATGAACCGTTCCATGTCATCTGCTTCTCCATCTATCAAATCCATGTTATTGGCAAGCCTATCCGGCATATCTTCTCCAAAATCCTGGACAGGTGGAACCCAACCCCCTCTGATATTGCCTCCAGGCTGCTGGCCTTCCCCGCCTTCTAAAGGACGGGCTTCCTCCTCATTCTTCACTGCGGCCTGCTCTCCGACCTTGTTTTGCTTGGGAACGTTTTCCATGTTAAGGATTTTTTTCCTGTTTCTTCTTCCTAGGACATAAACAGCAAGGAGAGGGATTGAACAGTCAGCAATAATATTCAGAACTCCGTCCGCCAAAGGTTTTCCCACCTGAGAGACTTCTTGATCCTTCTAGGGGGCGCCCCAGTCCTGGCCCTGCTTCAAAGCCCACCATTTTCCCTGAAAATCCTTCCCCAGGCCACTCCCACCAAAATGTAGGACAGGGTGGTAGGCGGGGCAGCAGTTGAGAGACCATACCTCAGCTCTCAGGGATCTGGGTAAGCTCTCCAGGTACACCCCAGAACTCACTCCTTTGTTCTCTTAGCCCATCAGCAGCCACTGGCTTGCTGTTTTGCTCAGACTCCACTAGGTTACTCCTGCACTTGACTCAAGCAGGAAGACTGCGTCCCCCAGGTTTTATTTTGATCCGTACACCCGAGAGTCCCAGGCAAGTCCCTACCTGCAGTGACCACAGGCAGTTTTTCTGTCTTGAAATCTGCTGCGCCAATGGATCTGAAGCCCTGCAGATAGATATGCGATAATGGTCAGGACTGATCACTTGATCAAAGGACTGGTATTGGGAGCATCTGTTCCATTGTTGAATTGGGACTTTCCTAATCAAATATGACCAACTTCTGTTTCTCCTCCATCCTATCTTGGGGTTTCTTTTCCCAACGTGTAACAGGCTACTTCGCCGTCCAGAAATAGTGCAATCAAAAATAATTATTTACAAACAATTTTAACCTCTTTTTGAGGCTTCCTATTTTTCACTGTCTCATCCCATCAAATTGGCAATTTTTTTTTTTTTAATTTTAGTGAAAGCAGATGGACAACTTGTGTGGCGGAGGAGTCAGAAGAGCTTTCTGGGTGGAGTCGTGGTTTATTTACAAAGGATTTCAACCTGGATATTCGTTAGGCCTCTATGGGACCCACTGCCCTCTCTCCAGAGCACTCTGCTCCCTTGCCCACCATTTTATGCATCAAGATGGACGATGGGAGAAGAGGTCTTGTGGATATAAACCAGGATCCGCTGCAATCAGAGCGCGTTACCATTCTGATCCCAGAGTCTACAAGCAGTGTCCACGTTTACACTGATCACTGATCCGCAGGGACCAGAAACAGTTTCTAGCGGCTGCCCGTAACCCTCAGTCTGCTCCGCGGCTTCTCAGATCTAATCTCCCAGCTCTGAAGCAACTACCCTCCCCGCCCCCTGCAGTCCATCATTTCTGACTCCCAAAGAATAAAAGATACCGACAATACAGGCCTGCAACCGTGACAGGGTCCGCCCTCCTCATCCCCAGGTCTCCAGTTGCGGCCTCCCACTCACCCGCGGCCCTGAAGGAATTCTGCCGCTTTCTTGCTACCTCCTCCCGTCTGCCTCTAACAGACTTTGTCCAGTCGCCCGCCTCCTAAAAGACGCCAACGCGTACGCATTCTCGATCGCGGGATCGCGGGATCGCGGGTCCCTCTTCACTTCCCAAGCCCTTCATTTCTAGCACCAAATGGGTGGGCGTTGGGGATGGGACAGCGGAACCAGCGGAACCACCCCTGCCCCCCCGACTGCACTCACCAACCTGCCAAGGATCGGTGTCAGCTTTCACCACTTTCCTCCTTCCCCGGGCAACTGGCTCGCTGGCTTTCAGGGCAACAATGAGAAGCCGCACTGCCACAAACGACTGCTAGTCCGCAACTAGGAGGAGAGAAAAATTCAGCTCCGCTCTAGACCTCGCAAGGGCCACGTCACTGTGAGCTCAGAGTCCCAATTACCATTCACACCTGCAGTGCGGCAGAAGGGTGGGGGTGTGGGTGTGGGCGGAGCTCCCTTTCTCCTCATTCCCGCCTTCACCAGGGCTACCTTAAGCTACTACCCGCCCCTCTATTTTCATTTCCTATTTAGCAATAAGACCAAAGGAGTCTTATTATTTTGTTGTTTGTGTTTGCCTTGCCGTGATTTCTGCTGGAGCTTTTAGGGACTTGTTTCTTCATATTCTATATACGCAAATGCCCACTCCTCTCCTTTTCACTGCCCAGAAAGTAACATCCCAGAATTTACCCTAACAGCCTTGCTGGTGGAGTCTCAGATTGGCCCAGCTTGGTGAGGGTGTGGTGGGGTGGGAAGCATGTGGGAGGAGGGAGAGTGAGGCTAGGAAGTGTGGAAAATAGATAAGACAGGACAGTTTAAAATGTTTACCTTAGGCGCTGGTGCTCTGGCATAGCAGGCTAAGCCTCCACCTGCTGTGTGGGCACCCCCTAAGGACACCGGTTCCGATCCAGCTCTCTGCTATGGCCTGAGAAAGCAGTAGAAGATGGCCCAAGTCCCTGGGTCCCTGCACCCACATGGGAGACCCGGAAGAAACTCCTGGCTCCTGGCTTTGGCCTGACCCAGCTCCAGCCATTTGGGGAGTGAACCAACAGATGGAAGATCTTTCTCTCTGTCTCTCCCTCTTTCTGTGACTTTACCTCTCAAACAAACAAATAAAATCTTTTTAAAAAGGTTTACTTTAATTAGTTTCCTTTTTGGAGAGCGATGTTTGTTTTAGATTGCCCATCTGCATCTACTCATAGTTTAGTTATTATCATTAGACAACATTACTGTTTTGAGTTGAAAAAAAAAAGAGATTTGACTTGCAAAACCTGGCAACTTTTTCTGCTGCTGAATCATTTTATACATAACCGTGCACTCCTGCCCTCTTTAAGGACTTTGAAATATAAACCTAAGGTTCCCCCAATTAAGAATCTGTCTGTGGATCTTTCCATAAGATGGTGCACCATGAGCTTTACTGGGAGATTTTCAAATCTTGAGAGCCTGTAACAAACTGAATATCTCTTCTAAATTGGGTGTCACTTCACTTTACAAAAATGTTTGGCTTCATCTGTAAAGTACACCCAGTGAAGTCTTTCAATAGAACAATAATTTGGGGAACTTTCACTAACAGATTAAAGCCATTGTAAAACTACAATGGTAAAATAGTATTGTACCAAAATAAACGTAGAGAAATGAACCAGAAAATTGTCAAACCCACATACAGAGAAATGCTGATAAGCTAATTGAAATATTTTTTCTTTCTTTTTTCTTTTTTTTCCAACGGTGACTTGATCAACATAGCCCTGACTGTTAATGAACAGCTTAATACATTATCCCTCTTAGTAGTTTTTTGTCTGTTCTACTTAATATGACTGGTTTAATTCTGTAATTAATACACAGTTATTCTTAAGTGTTGAAATTTAACTGAAATGTGATCCCTGTTAAACATAAGAGTGGGGATAAGAGAGGGAAGAGATGTACAATTTGGGACATGCTCAAGCTGACTTGCCCCAAATGGTAGAGTTAGAAACATACCAGGGGACTCCAATTCAATCCCATCAAGGTGGCATGTACCAATGCCATCTCACTAGTCCAAGTGATCAATTTCAGTTCACAATTGATCATAATGAAAGGACTAAGAGTCAAAGGGAGCACATAAACAAGTCTATTACCTGCTAATACTAACCGATAGAATAAATAAAGGGGAGAGTGATCCAACATGGGAAGCGAGATACTCAGCAGACTCATAGAATGGTGGATGTCCTAAACAGCACTCTGGCCTCAGAATCAGCCCTAAAGGCATTCCGATCTGGCTGAAAAGCCCATGAGAGTATTTCAGGCAT